CCTTTCCTTACCTGAGACCAGAAGAACTAGATGATGCCTGGCTACCACTACCAACCATTCTAACCAGGAACACAATAGTAGGTCCTGGATAGAACAGAAGAAAAATGTAGAACAAAACTCAAATTCCTAAAAAAAAAAATGCCAGACCTACTGGACCGATGGAGACTAGAGGAGCCCCTGAGACAATTGCCCTAAGATAACTTTTGAACATGGAATTGAAGCTATTTCTGGAGGTCGCCTTTCAGCCAAATAATAGATTGGCTTACAAAATAAACTGTATCACCTGTGAATAATGTGCTCCCGTAAACAATGAACTATATGAGACCATACGGTCAACATTTACCCAAAAGCAAATGAGAGAAGGCAAGGAGGGGAAGTGAAACTAGATCAATGGAAACAGCAAAAACAGAATGGAAGTAGTGAGAATGCTGATACATTGTAAAAATTGTAACCAATGGCACTGAACAATTTGTATAAAAATTGTTAATTTGCTGTGTAAAGGTTCACTTAAAACACAATTAAATATTATCTAAAAAAACAAAAAAAGTCACCCATTTAAGTACTGTGCTCCTTTAAACAAAATCACCTATGTGAGACCAAATGGTCAACAATTACTTTAATACAAAGATGAGAATATAAGGAGCCAGGGAAACTAGATTAATGGAAACAGAACAACCAGAATGGAAATAATGAGAATATTCACACATTGTGAAGAATGTAACCAGTGCCACTGAACAAACTTCCATAGAAATTGTTGAATGGGAAGCTAAATTGCTATGTAAACATTGACCAAAAACGTAGTATTTTTTATAAAAAGATATATCTACAACGCATGTTTACCAATTCAGTGTTTTTCACATGTACAATTTAGTGATATCAATTACATTATCATATTGTGCAACCATCACCAATAATTGTTCCCAAATTTTCCATCAGAACTTTTTATCTTTGAAAGCATATTCTTTTTGTTAGTTGCCATCAAGTTGATTCTGACTCGTGGTGACCCCATGTGTGTTAGAGTTGAACTGTGCTCCATAGAGTTTTCACGGCTGTGTGACCTTTTGGAAGCAGATCATCAGGCCTGTCTTCCAAGGCGCCTCTGGGTGGGTTCAGACTGCCAACCTTTCAGCTAGTAGTCAAGCACATAACCATTTGCGCTACTCAAGGGACTCCTTTAATAACATTATCACACCCAAAAAAAAAATCAGTAATTTCTCAAATCCCTTATCAATGTAAAATTTCCCCATTTGTCTCAAATGTTTTTTTAATGAAGGTAAAAAATATATTTACCAATTCAGCCATTTTTTTTGTATACAGTTCAGTGACATTAATTACATTCACTATGTTGTGCAACTATCACCACTATGCATTTCCCAATTTTTCCATCACTCTTAACAGAAACTCAGTGCCCCTTGAACAGTAACTTCTTTTTCTCCCCTCCTCTCCCATCCTTGGTAATCACTAATAAACTTTGATCCCTATGTATTTGCATATGCTAGACATTTCATATAAGTGAGATCATATAATATTTGTCCTTTTGTACGGCTCTGACCCGTTTCACTCACCATAATGTTTTCCAGGCTCATCCATGTTGTAGCCATGTATCAGAACTTCATTTCTGTAAATGACTGCATAGTATTCCATTGTATGGCTATGCCACACTGCGTTTACCCATTTATCTGTTGATGGATCAGATGTTTTATTCATTTAGTTTGGTTAAAATAAATGTCAGCCGTTTGCAATGTGTGGGTCTTCTTTGGATTCTGAATATTTGCTTCGTTTTGAATAAAGCCTTGGTCCTATTTTTTTATATTCAACACAAATGTAGTAATTTTTTTGCATTTGTATAAATTTATATTTATTTGATAGTCCTTCCAGTTATGTTAAGATTCTGATTGTTATGCTAGAATATTGACAGTTTCGAAGCAGACCCTTAGCAGATACTAAAAACATCCCTTCTGTGACTTTGACTAGAGGAATTGTTCAAAATATTGAAATATTGAATAGCAGAAGATGGACGCAGTCCTGTGGGCTGTCATCAGGTAGACAGTTGTGCATGTGGCCAGCACCTTGGAGTATGGTCCAGCTGTGCACCTGCTTGTGTACAAACTCACCTCAGGCTTCTCCATCTTAGTCCAAGCTTCTCTTGTTTTGTGTGTTGTTTAAGCTTTTATGTGCTAGATGTTTTGAAGGATTCAAAATGAGAAGACACTGGATCTGACTCTAAAAAGAAACAAGGTGTATGTAAATAATACAAAGCCAAGTTCCATATGCCATAGGAGTGCCACAGATAGAGGGCTTGGAATGGGGGTTTACTGGCTGTGAAAGTTACTTTCAGCTACCTCAGCAAAGCTAAGCCAAACGCTTTGTGAAGTGAAGATGTATTCTGCCACATTTGCTTGACCTCAGGAAAATAAGGTTGGCTTAGCATGACTTTTCAATGATCCCGTGTTGACTCCTGGTATTGATGATTTTCTTTTCAAAGGGCTCCCAGGTCATCTGATGGATAATGTTGCAGAAGTTGGGGGATGAAATGCAAATTCAGCAGTCTTCTAGAATCCCACTGCTCTCTGTTTTGAATATTGTACACTCTATGACATTGATATCATTCCATTTTCTAGGATTTTTAAATCAATTGCAGATAGAGTAAATAAAACTAATCTGATCCACATCTTCCAGGGATTCATGATCTTAGACATTGTTCGATAAGCCTACAGGGGATTAAGCTCAGAGAGAATGATGATCTAGTACTTTAGGGTCCATGTTATCTCTCTCTGGCATCCTTTGGAGGGTCCCTGATGTAGTGTTCATTCATACACAGACCCTGGACTGCTCCTGCAACGGCTAGACGTGCTGGTGTGCGTGTGACCCCTTGTGAGCACTGGGTCACTGTTTGCATTTTTTTTTTTTTGCTATAACCGTAGCCTAGGTTGGAATGTGAAGGGACATCCTTGTAGTAATGGAAGTATTAATGGAAGGTTATATTTTAAAAGAACATTATTTCACTACAATTATGAAATAATGTTTTGAGGTTTTTTGTTAAATGTTTTTACTAGTATATGTGCTTTTGGTTTTTTGTTTTGGTGGACTCACCTGCACATAATCACCACTTAATTCATCCTTTCTGCATTAAAATGAAATATAAATTTCAAACAGCTCAGTATTGTGGTTAAGAGCACAGGCTTTATTCAGACTTGGCTCCATAATTAATCAGCTTTGTGACTTTAGAAAGATTTTTTAACTGAGAAGTCTTGTTTTATACAATTGTAAATTTTGTGTAGCATACTTGCCACATGGGGAGATCAGACGAAGTGATGTGCTGTCGTGCAGCCTGTTCCACTCAGTGGCTAGAATGTCCAATATGTGCTACTCTCTATGTTAAAAAAGACAAGTAAGATGCAGCCGCTGCTTTTAAAGAGTTCATGTCTATATCAAAAGAAAAATGACAATAAAAAATTATGCTAGCAGTATTAACAGTTTCGTTTGTGCTCCTTCCAAAAGGTTGTGGTTATTTTTAAACAAATGGTCCATGATCTTTGTTGCTAGCTTAAACCTGTACAATACAAGGTTATTGTTCTTAAGTACCCTTGAGTTGTTTTCGGGTCATGATGACCCCAGGTGACAAGAGTACAACTGCCCCATCAGGTTTTATTGGCTGTATTCCTTATGGAAGCAGATTGCCAGGTCTTTCTCCCACAGAGCTGCTGGGTGGGTTTGAACTGCTAAGCTTTTGGTTAGCAGCCGAGCCCTTAACTGATTATACCACCAGATGTTAAAGGGTCAAGTCAACAGCAGTTGGGTTTGGGTTGAACAGAACAATGTTTAAAAATAAAGGTACTTTGTAGGTGAGTTGGGACGTGGGAATTTATAGAAATAAACATGGTTCCTTATATCGCTGCTATTAGCTGCCATGGAGTCCAGCCCCCAACGCATAGCATCCCCATTCACAATGGAACAAAATGCTGCCCAGTCCTGCACCATCCCCACGACTGGTTGCAGATCAGACCCTTGTGCTACATACGGTTTTCATGGGCTGATTTTTAGAAGTAGATCACCGGCTCTTTCTTCTTAGTCTGGGAGTGCCACTGAAACCCCTTCAACATCATAGCAACACTCAGGCCTCCACTGACAGATGAATGGTGGCTGCACATAAGTGCACTGGCTGGGAACTGAACTTAAGTCTACCACATGGAAGGCAAGAATTCTACCACTGAACCACCACTGCCCCCCGCCTCCAGTTTCTTATAGGGTCAATATACATTTCACGAGTAGGTGTTTCCCCAAGGTTTTTACATTGAAACTTACTGATAGGTCTTTATTTAGGCCAGGCACTGTGCGTAAAATGGCCTTTGGGGAAAGATACCTGATTTCATTTGCACAAGTAGATGCATTTCTTCTGCCTCTGGAATATGTACCGGACCTATTCACTTTTTATTGACCGTAGACTCCCAAGTAGTATTCAGACTGACTTAGAAATTCATTTAAATCAGATTTAGACAGACTTTATGATGTGTAGGGAAACGTTTTAAGCAAAAATTCTTGGCTGGTTCTTTGTTATTGCTTGCCTTTTGGAGAAACCAGCTTCTATGTTTTCTCCCTTTCCCTTCCTCTTGCCCCTCCTTCACATCTCCAAGACCTCCTTCCTGCCAAGGCTCTCCTCAGTCGTGGTCTTGTCTGTGAAGCTTTCTCTGATATTTGTTCTCTTGTGGGCTTCTCCCCGTCTCTAGCCTAGTATCTTCCTTTCTGTCCATTCATGTTGTCCTTCACTGCTCTGGTGTTTTCCTTATCTTTATATTGTCTGATCATGCTTGCCGGATTGTAAACTCCTTGAGGGTTGACTCACAGGTTACTGCTGACCCGTTGGCTGTATCTATTAGAATTACAGAAAGGTAAATCAGAGTTTAATGTAACTTTTTCTAAACTCTTGCTTTTCCTCCATTTTCTCTTCAGAAAAAAACAACAAAAAAAACTTATTTAACCAAATCTTCTTTTCGGTTTAGCTCCAAAACCTGGGAATTAATCCAGCCAACATTGGATTCAACACACTGACAATGGAATCTGACGAATTTATATGTGTTTGAGAGAAAATTGGTGAGCAGGTTCAAGTAGTGATTATTGACATGAGTGACCCAACTGCCCTGATCAGACGTCCTATCTCTGCAGAAAGTGCCATCATGAATCCAGCATCTAAGGTGAGAGCTCTGAAAGGTAAGCCTGATGGGAATGTTAGGAAAGAATTTTATCTCACATTGGCTGCTTTGTTACCTTAAATATCGGAAAAGTGTCAGTAACTCACAGCAAAGTGTCATCAGTAGTATTAACTTAATTCCAGAAGCTTTAGCCCAAGCTGTGATTTGTGTGTTCAAGTGAGAGGCCTCTGAGCACCAGAGCTTCTCTGTAACATCACCCGTCGTCCCAAATGTACAAGAAGAGAACACCCAGGGCTTCTTCCCCATGGGTTCTACGTCTGGAAATGCCAGTGACTGCACTGTGCCATGTTCACCAGTAGTGCTGTGTGGTGCCCTTGACTAAGGGACCTGTTTTACAGGGTGTTCCCAGTCATCCCAGAATAGAAGCCACAGAAACTTATCTGTCTTACAAAACACATCAATGACAATATGGCTGGAAATAGAATTTTACTTCCCTGAACCTCCTGGAAGCCTGGGTGCTTGAAACCTTTTAGTTACCTTGAGAATACAGAATCTTTTTATACTGCCTTGGTTTGGGAAATGAAAAATTATGTATATAGCAGACTTACTTGAAAAGTAAAAACTGTTTTTGGACCTTTGAAGTTAAGACCTTTCTATTTAAAAGAAATTGCTGAATCCCTTCTTTTTTTTCCCCCCTCAAAAAGATCTTTGTTCCGTTAACTACTCTACCCCTTTTCCTTGCAGTCTTGTCAAAGTATTTTTTTGGAACGTGCCATGTAACAAAACTATTTTACTCTTAATTGGAGGAATTATTAAAATTTATCGATTCTTTCCTATTTCTTTAAATTTGTCGCTTATCCTTGGGCTGTTTTTGATGGAGTACTCACCTTGCAGTACTTGCTTTTCCACAATTTATATTGTTGCAGTACTTTTGAGAGACCTTATCTAACCTGTTTTTGCTGTTCCTCAGCGGGTCTCCAAAATGATCTGCATTTTAGTCTTCCTGGTTCTCTGGTACAGTTCTCTTTAACAATGTGCATGTGGATCTCTGGTGGGGGATGTTTTGGGGATGAGAGGGGTGTAGAGAAAACAGTATTTAGATGCTGTCAATCCCCTCCAGCCAAAGAGCACCTGTGACACACCTGAAGTTGAACAAGTCGGGTTTGCTTGTTGTAACAAAGGAGACCGTGCACCATGGGGACTGTGTGATGTCTCAGTAAGAGGGTGTTATAAGGAACCTTTTATAGGATTTGGGATTTGGGTGGAGGATTGAGGGGACGTCCTAAGGAAGTAGAGGTTTGCTCTAGATTGGGTACTGTCAGAAAGTGGGGGTAATTTTATGATTAGGTATCTCAATAAATCTTACCTGTGAGGGAGTGCAGACTAGAGCAAGGGTAAAGGTGTGATTGGTAAAGAAGCAGCAGTCCCTCATTTTAGCCAAGAGAGAGGGGGATGTTTTGTATTTTGTGGGTCGCACAGTAATCTTGTTTTGTCTGTACTTAAGACAAAATTCTGAAGTGGCCTTACTTTGTCTCACTTTTTCATGGTCTCAGAGGGACCTTGTCTGAGGTGGGTTATTCTCTGAGACGGTCTGTGTCTACTAGGAGAATAGCAAGGCCTGGCTGTGAGTGCCCAGCCAGCTTCTGGATGGCCGGGGCTGCTCTTTCTTTCTTTCTTAGTGTTAATATGAATTGCTTCAACTATAACAGTGTTGAGTACGGTTTTCTTTTTTGCATAGGGAAATGTGAAATTATGAAACCAAAGTGGTATAATTTTAAGACTTTATCCTATTTTTATTGTAATTGTATGGCTATAAGGATGATCTTGTACAGATTGTTTGCAAGTAGAGGATCTACAGTGTGTTTTAAAGGTCCTAGACCAAAATGAATAAAATCATATTAGAAAAAAAGGGGGAGGAGTATTTGTACACTGATTGAAATAGATGACTTAAGTACAAATGAGCTATTAAGAGCAAGTGTACTGTTTCCTACACTGGGACTGGTTACACAGGGGCCAGTGTGAAAGCACGGGAGTTAAGTCAAGGAGCCTATTCTGTGCCTCACAGATTCTCTGCATTATGGCTGGTAAAGTCTTGTCATTCAGAAGGAGCTCTTCATGGAATGGGCCTCTTTTTTTTTTCTAAGTTTTATTTATTTTGTTGTTGTTGTTGAGAATGTATACGACAAAACATAGACCAATTCTGCAGTTTCTACATGTACAATTTAGTGTCACTGATTACGTTTCTTTGAGTTATACAACCATTCTCACCCTCCTTTTCTGAGTTGTTCCTCCCTCATTAACATAAAGTCACTGCCCTCAAACAGGGGTGAAGCATAGGTCCTGTTTCATTTTTCTGCATGTGGAAATCCAATTTTCCCAACAACATTTATTGAAGAAATTCTTCTTTCCCTGTTGAACGGACTTAGCACCCTTGTCAGAAATCAGTTGATCATAGATGTGAGGGTTTATTTCTGGATTCTCAGTTCTGTGCCATTGGTCTGTGTATCTGTTGTTATATATACCAGTACCAGGCTGTTTTGATTACTGTTGTTGTTGTTGTTGTTGTTAAGTGCTGTCGAGTCAGTTCAGACTCATAGCGACCCTGTGTACAACAGAATGAATCACTGCCCAGTCCTGCACCATCTTAACAGTCATTGTTATGCTTGAGCCTGTTGTTGCAGCCACTGTGTCGGGCCATCTCCTTGAGGGTCTTCCTCTTTTTCACTGACTCTCTGCTTTACCAAGCATGATGTCCTTCTCCAGGGACTGATCCCTCCTGATAACATGTCCAAAGTATGTGAGACATGGTCTCGCCATCCTTGCTTCTAAGGAGCATTCTGGTTGTACTTCTTCCAAGACAGATTTGTTCCTTCTTTTGGCAGTCCATGGTATATTCAGTATTCTTCGCCAACACCACAATTCAAAGGCGTCAGTTCTTCTTGGGTCTTCCTTATTCATTGTCCAGCTTTTGTATGCATATGAGGCGGTTGAAAACACTGTACTTGGGTCAGGTGCACCTTTGTCCTCAAGGTGACATCTTTGCTTTTCAACACTTTAAAGAGGTCTTCTGCAGCAGATTTGCCTAATGCAGTTTCACTAGCTAATTCTTTTCAGAAGTAGACTTCCAGGTCATTTTCCTAGTCTGTCTTAGTCTGGAAGATCAGCTGAAACCAATCCACCATGGGCGACCCTGCTGGTATTTGAATACCGGTGGCATAGCTTCCAGTATCACAGCAACATGCAAGCCCCCACAGTACGACAAACTGACAGATGGGAGCTGTAGCTGTAGAGTATGTTTGAAAATCAGGAAGTGTGAGTCCTCCTACTTTGTTCTTCTCTTTCAGCATGTTTTTAGCTGTTCGGAGCCTCATACCATTCCATATAGAGTTGAAGATTGGCTTTTCTGTTTCTGTAAAGAAAGCTATTGGAGTTTTGATTGGGATTGCATTGAATCTAGAGACACTTTGGGTAGTGTTGACTTCTTAACAATATTAAGTCTTCCAATCCATGAACATGGAACATCTTTCCATTTATTTAAATCTTCTTTAATCTCTTTTATAGATTTTCTTGTATAAGTCCTTTATGTCCCTGGTTAGATTTATTCTTAGGTATTTTATTCTCTTAGGGGCTGTGGACCTCCTTTTTTAAAAAGCTCTACCTTTGTAGTCTCTGCTTGTGTCTGGCCGTGAGCTTCCAAGGTCCTCAGCCCATACCATTGCCAGTCCTGGAGGAGCCTGGAGAAAATTCAGTCACCTCAGTCTCTCTTCAAACTTTCCCAGCTCCTGAGTTTGTGGTGAACATTTACAAAGAAGGCATACATTTTTACCCTTGTCCTAAAGAGTATGAAGTGGTGGTAGAACTCCTCATCTGTTGCTCATCATTTTAAACAGAACATTAATGCCCCAGCTCAGGGATGGCAAACTGCCTGTTTTGATATGACCCTGAGCTACATTTTTAAAGAGTTGTGATGAATAGATGACAGAGATCTTTTGTTTGCAGCTTGCATGACTGTCCCAAATATAATAGTCCCTCTTTTGTTGTTAAACATTGCCCTTTGAATATTCATGTGTATTTCTTTTTACACATTTTACTCATTTTCCTTAATATTTAGAAGTAGATTTAGTGTTGGCTAATTTTCTGTCAACCCAACAGCTAGCTCTTAGCTCAGATGAGGAAGTGATGGGGTGGCATCCCCTTTTGGTGGCACACGCTTCACCTTGATCGCTTAAATATGACCTTATGTTAGTTCCCAGAGGAGGTTTATGTATTTGTTTATTTTTATTATTATTATTTTTGGCAAGGCTAAATATTTTATTATTATTATTTTTTATTGTTGTAAT